CGCTCTGCACGCAAGAGGAGGAGCGGCGAGATGGAAAAGGTAAGGACCAATCAGACTACAGAAATCACTAAGAAGGCACATAATCTGGAAAGAATGAGTCATCACAGATTTTAGTATTATGTGTTTAGTTCTTTCCACTGTTAAAGCAGCAGTGCAAGTCATGCAAGTCATAGTGTGTTTCTTCAAATGTACAAGGTTACCATGGTGGAAAAGCTGATTAAACCAATCAGCAACCAGATATTTATTTAGGGGCCATTAATGAGATGAATCAGACCTGGAGGTAACTCAATTACATTCAATAATGTCTGTATGTGCAGTTACCTACAGAAGTGTAGTGGAGTGTCAGGAATATATACTGTATGGTAAAGCTGCAGAGTCATCCATGACGCCTGTGAACGCTTCCTTTCTTGCTTTTTCTTTTTTTTTAAGCACTAATTTCTAAGTGGTCAAATTGTCAAACGTAGAAGCCTCGTCTGCTTGTATTTCTACTAATACACAGCAGTAAACTAATTATAGAGAGCTTAGTGTGGATTGTATTTAAACTCATGACTGAAGTAGCTAAATTCTGTTTTTCTGTGACTCTGCCAGCTTCAGTTTCAAAACTGCCTCAGGCAGATTCCAGCAACAGTACTGTGAGCTCTGACTCCTTGACAGTATCCCATCAAAACTTAAAACCCTTAAACTGTCCCTGTCCGCCTCCCTGCTGTGTGGGACCACAGTGGCAGCAGCATTTTGTTTGACACTTTATTAACGTAATTTCTTTTTTCTGTGTAATCCCCCGTGGCTGCGGGCTAGTTGGTAGCGCTGAGGCGTAAAAACACCTGATGTCAGGGATTTAATGTTACACGTGCTCAGTGTTTAAATTCCTTAACTGATGCAGAAGATGGTTCTTGTGAGTTGAACCAGAATAATGCTGGAATGAGGATGATACCAGAAAGAACAAATTGAAGGACACTTCAGGGAAGGTTGATTAGCATAGCAACCTTCAAGTGGTGACGTGATGAACGAGCTGCTGAACACGCATTAAATTTGAATGAAAGAAAGTTGACTTAAAACACTTAAAAAAACACCAAGTATCAGATTCCAATTCCTGTGGCTTTTGGAGTGTATTTTAAATTATCTGTCCCAGACAGAACACGGTAAGAATTCAGCAGAAGCTTTGGGCAAAATGTCTTTAAAATATAAAGAACTCTCCTTGCAGAAAATATTAGTATAAATTAAGAGTGAGGTTCATGAAGAAGTACTGTCATATTTTTTATAGTTTCTTAAATTTGATTTTGCTCTCATTTCTTTGATATTGAGAATTTCTGTAGTTAAAAAAACACACACATCAGGCACTTTCACAGGAACACACAAAAAAGTAATTGTTTTCTGGCAAAAATGTGTTGAAGGCTTTGCTAATTCTTACAGCTCTCACTAAGAGTGATGTTAGCACATTAGCACACAAATGTTCTGTCGGCACAGTGAGAGATTTGTGCAAAAGCATGTTGGTGACAAAAGCTCATTAACTGAATGGGTTCTGGCCTGGATTGTTTGTGTGGCCCAGATTCTGCTACAGTGTGAGATTTTACACTCGGAATGAAAAGCCGTGCCGTTCTGGGCACCAAACCCCAGAACTAATTCAACTAATGACTGTGGTTCTGCTGAGTGAGCTCAGCTTACCACCAGGCAACTGGAATAGAATCAAATAGGAGAGAGCCCCAGCAATAAAAAAAACAAAACAACAAACAATCAGCATCATAGGAAAGCAGTCTGATGTGATGTCAGAGATTTAGGTCACTCCAGTCAACCTGTCCTCAAATAAATGAGTCTGCAAGTAATGGTTATTTTCAACATGAAACAACCTGCTTTTAAAAAAAATTAATTTCTAAAACTCTCCTGAAGATATTGGTCTGTTTGCCCTTTATCTCTGAGTGACAACAACCTCATGAGTTTGTATTGTCTACAGTTTAAAACTCTGTTTCATTCTGTTAATGTGTCTCCTGGCAGTCGTATGTAGATGAATCTCCTTCAGGTCTAAAGTTCAGTACAAATGTTGGTTGATGTTTCTTCTCTGGTTCAGATGAAGGTGAAACCTCTTTAACTGCACTTCGGTTCCACTTTTTACTCGCCTTAAAACATGTTCAAAGGTTGAGGATTGGTTTAGATGATGAGTTCAAAACCACCGTCATGTAACGGTCGAACATAGCGATCAATGATGAAAGAAAAGGGAGAGAAAAAAACAAAATGGTTCTCTCTCTCTCCCTCTGAGTCAGAGGAAGGCGGAACGTTACACGGGCGCTCTTTTGTGCAATGGATTCTAAAGTGGAGAAAAAGGGACATTAGGACACGTTTTCTTTATAGAGGTGTTTTGTGCTTTTCTCTCTTGTTGCTCCCTTGATGCTGCTGCAGGAACCCAGTTTTCCTCTCAGTGATGAAAGACTCCGCCTGTCTCTAAATTCACAAACTAATCTTGCTGCTACTGTATATGAACTAAAATTTGTTGCACCCTCTTGGCATCATTTCAGTATTAATATGTATATGTCTGTGTGCATGTTAATGAATGATGTACTACCGTAAGGTTTATTGTTAGGCATAATAATAATATGTTAAATAAATAATATACATTTTAGTTGATTATTTATAATTTGAATTTATTAAACAAAAATTATTTTGATATTTTCTCAACCTCAACTAAAATAAATAGAGTGTAGTTGACTAAATTAAATAAGTTAACAATGATAGGGATATCTGTTGTCTTTAATATTTGTTTTTGTTGTGGCTGTTGTTGTTTCTTGTAATTTTTTTTTATACAAATCTCCACACCTGATCAGATAATATTTGGAGTGCAGCAGTGTGGAGCAGACTAGGTCCTGTGAAGGATGGACTATATACTGATGGTCTTTATTTTGGTTGTTGTTATTGCTGTGACCTACTTTCGCTCAGAAAAGTGAAGATTAAGTGACACGTAAACATGAGAAATACAGCAAAGGGAAAAGATGCTAACACACTAAGAAAAATAAACCCGTGTTTTCCTGACTTACAGGGAAGTCATAAGTAAACACTTGAATATTAATGTTGTTGACTTTTGCTTGATTTGGCGATCAACACATGATGGATAGCACTATGTATGCTGATCAGCAGGGGTCCGGTGTGTGCTTAAAGCACGACCAGCGGCCTGCTCTTCATCTGTAAATGTTAGAACCACAGGAAACTGGGGAACGGCCTCATTAGTGTCTTAACACGTGGGTGAAGTGGAGGACGAACACAGCTGTTTAATCTACACTGTGTTTACCACAACATTGAAGAAATGCAAGAGTGCAGCAGCAGAGAGCAATTCTAGGGGAACTGTGTGCTGCATGGCAAAGCAAGGACAATTAAAAATATTTTCCCCTCCCTCGGATATTAAAAAAACAACGTTCCACTGTGGGGTTGGTGATTGCATTGGTTTGTAGCAATTAAAGTGTTTACTAAATGACGGACCACTTGAGGTTTTGGCATTTGAAAAAAAGCCCAACTGCACACAACATCTGTCTTTATCCACATAAGGCCTGATATTTGTGTTTTAGTGATTTACTACTACAAGTATTACAAGTTTTGCATGAAATAAATAAATGTAACTTTAGGTAAACCACATATACTTAAAACTAATATTTTAAGTAACTATGTACAACACAAATTGCTGAAAGATAAGAAAAAAAAGTAGGTTTTCTTAGATATCACCAGGATGTTGCCAAGATAGCGTAAAGGCTGTTTAGTTTTAGTTTGTTTATTTTAACGCTTTATTTCTTTTCTTTAAGTCTCACATTTTTAGGAGGAGTAAACGACGAACAACGCCTGAGGTACATATATTTTTTAATTTAACATTTCGTATCATCATCTCAATAATTCCCATCACTTTTAGCACCGTCATTGTCCATTGTCCAACTTTGTGGCCTTAGTTGTAGCTGTTGTCCATGACATATCATTATGATTTACCAAAAGGAGGAGGAGAATTCAGGGATTTTGTGAGTGCATGTAAACAAACTCAATTTGTTGGAATAATAAGACACGCGCATCTCAACCAGCAGTTAATGACAGTAGGACAGATAGAGGTTTAACAATCTATTCCAATTGCCAATATTTACAGTCCGGTTTAACAACCTATTCCAATTGCCAATATTTACAGTCCGAAACATCCAAAGTACTTGCAGGAAAAAAAAGCGATTTCTAACTCTACTTTTAAAATGTACACTTGTATTTTTATATATTGAAGTGCTTTAAGGTAGATTTTCACAGCCATCTCATTTCCCATTGTAGCTTTCATATCTCCCATGGACGAAAATCTTTATGCTTTTTTCTAACATCATTGTATTTTTCTAACAGATAGATGTAGTATTCATCCAGTATTTGTACACATTTTCAGTTTTAATCTATGCCACTGAGTGACTAATGTTGGGTGTACAGCACAGCACCAGTGACAGTGAGCTGAAGTGTGTGAAACTCTCACACACTTAGAGACTTCATTAAGCAGGTCAACTCTTCCAGCAATGAGTTTTTACTCAGCTGGGAGCTGCAGAGCCTTTGGTCAGACATGTCAAGCCTTCACCCTGAGTTATTGGCTCACGTGCCCTCAAACAAGGAGTCAGATCCAAACAATTTGTGTGAGAGCTGACCTGGGGCTGAACCCCAGCCTCTTTGCCCCAGAGGGAGAACCCAGGGACAGAACGAGAGCTCTAAAACCTATTTCCCTTGGTCTTTGTGTCCATCACATGATCCAAGCTGAAGTGCAGTCAGGCTCCCGAAGAAACTAAACATCATAAACCTTAGGCTCATTCTGCCACAGGAAACTCCACTGAGAAAGTCAATGATTTTATCTCACAAGGAGGAATGAGCTGGTGGTCTACTGCTACCCAATGCAATCAGTTTATCTGTCACTGAGATAAATGTGAAAAAAGGATTTTAGTCACTGCAATTGAAGGAAACACTTTGGAACTCGGCGATGGAAGCAGAGACATGTTTCCTTCCAGGGTTGTCTTAACAGCATGATCAAATGTTTAGACAGTCATTCTTTCAATGACAAACATGGGCTGTTTTTTTTTTCACTATTACCAATCACTGTTATACTTATGCTTTGTCTTTTGAATCAACAATCATGTTTCCAGAATCTGAAGTCCCTTTTCTTTTGTTTTCATAAGTAATTGTTATCGTTAATAACAATTTTTTTTTTTCTTTTTACTTTTGTTTTACCACATCGGTGCGAAGCAGACAGCAGCATCATTAGAGAGTTAAATCTGCTCTGATGATTCTGACATCAGTCTGCAGCGACGCGGCACTCATCAGACTCAACATGTCATCATTTTACCATTCTGTCTAATTTCACTCTCTCATTCACACACCGACACACACACACACAAGTCTCTTCACCCATTTTTTGTTCAGTTTTCCTCCTTTTGCCATTCCACTGTTGACTTCCCTGATGATTTATTGACCGACACTGTGGCTTTTCTCTTTTTCTGTCTTTGCTGCTGTTTTTGAGAAAAATCTATCTCTGTGTCCTTAGCTGTTACATTTTGAAATTCGTTTTCTGCTTCGAGTGCTCTCACTCAAGTGAGTCACGATTGAGAGCATGTGACGAAAAACCCAGCATCGTCCGTTGTCAAGAAAACAGTGCTCCTGCTCTAAAGCCAGGCAGGAAGAACACAAAGTTGATTGTGTTTCAAGTCGATCACAGAGATCGAACACATTCTCAAATGGATCCAGTTTTATTTTGGTTTTGAAAAATGTCAACAGAAAAAAAAAATAGGGGTTATTGATTAATCACCAGGGGGCAATTGTGGTTGATGGAATGAAGTGTCTGGAGTAAAAGCCACATTTTACTGGATTCTCACTGGTACAATTTATTTGAAATGTATCTGTAATTCAAGGGCAAGTTCAGATTTGGTTACTTTTATTCTGGTTTATTCAAGTTTATTCTTTCATGTTTAAATCATGTTGCGTGCAGGATAAGTTCCAGTTGATGTTGAGGTCAAATACTGAAGTCATATTTATGATGCTGATGTTTAGTTTGTTCAAGCTTTCACTGGTTAAGTTTTATTTACTCTTTTTTTTCAGAGGAGGGGTCTAATGTTAAGTAAATGTCAAATTTAGATTTTTTTTTTTAATGAAAACTTAATGTTCTGTTGACCAAAGCTAAACAGGTTCAGGGTCACATTTAGTAAAGGTCAGCTCTTCAATTCATTGATTAAAGTTTATCAAATTCATTGACACCATCTTTTCTTTTGGCGATGGTGTGAAGAACTGTAATTTCCTTTAAAAGACAAGGATTAAGTTTTTTTGTTTTTTTTTTTCTTACAAACAGCTGGATTGTCACGACATCTTTGTCCTCTGCTGTCATTAAATCAATTCTTTGCCAGCCTGATGCTGCCCCCCCCCAGACACACACACAGTGTTTGTCTGGTATATTTTCCAGTTCCATTGTATAAAGTAACCTCATGTTGTTACTCCCCACATGAACACACAACACGAACAGCTCCACCACCCCCCCGCCCCCATCCTTTTCTCTGTCTAGCTGCTTTTTTGTTCTTCCTCTAGTTTTTCCTTTAAAAAAAAAAAAGTTTATTTAGTCACTGATGACTCTTCATGTTTCTGACCTTTTCCTCCTCTGCTTATCGAGGCGCAGTGCATCCACTGGCTGAGCTCATCTTTATCCACGGCTCCCCACTGAATCACACGCTTAACATGACCAAACAAAAGCTAGTGTCAAGGGATTTTAGTCAGACTGAAGCACATAATGTCTCTGAGGCCAATGGTTTCATAATCTATCTGCTTTAGTTTTAGAGACACATCGACAGAGAGAGATTCATCATTTATGCTTCAGAGCCGCTTGATTTAATGATTAACAGAAATGGGGTTTTTTTTGTTCACCGCTTTATCACAATTATTTTGAAAAAAAAAAAAGAGCGCCAATCAATTATGACCCAATGCAATCATCCTTTATTCTTAAAATATCATTAGCAAGTGAAATGGTCTTGTGTATTTCATGAACTGAATTTATTTTAAATAACAAAATACGAAATATTCACATTTCCTTACAGAAACACTGCACATCACCATTTATCTCATCTTCTATAATCTGGCCTGGTCTTTTTTTTTTTTTTTTTTACCTCATTCACTGTCAATATATTAGTCCCACAGATTCATACCCATCCCCAGTTATTTGCCATTTCTCACATTTAATCCAAAGGAAACACTGACCGTTAATACTGTAATCTGTGGCAGACTTATGTTGAACTGAATCTCCATCAAACCAATCTTTCTAGTTTCTAGTACCAGAGGTGCTTCACTTTTTTCTTTCCTACTAAAAGCATCTTTTTTTTAACAATGATTCTCATCATTAATCTGAAGAAACTGTGGCCTCTGCTGGTTAACTGCATCTCTGGACAGTTTCCCACTCCACTCCGATGCCGCCATTAACACTGACGTCAGCCTCCATCTGAAACACTGAAGACCCAACAACATAATGTGTTTGTGCAATGTGCGTTTTGACTGCAGGGCAGTTCAGAGTGTCGGCTTCAGTCTGACAGGAAAATAGGTCCCAAATAGAGCGATTTCTTCTTCTGCCTGAAAGACATCACTGCTGGTAAAACGGTCAAAGTCAAAATCCAATTGGTGACAACGATTAGCAGAAAAGGTTCTGAGTGTTTTTCACTTCACAGCGTTTGAGCAACAGCCGCAGTTAACGCTCATTATCAAACACTCGGTGATGGAACGGTTGTACACAGAGGCTGTGTTTTTCTATCAGTGTGTGTTTGTGACTGTATTTTGTGTGTGCTCGTGTGTAGGAGGAGGTGGAGGCACAGAACAGGAGGAACACCAAGACCAATTTGACGCCAAAGCTGACCCCACATCAAGAGGAGGTGATGAACATGCAACCAACACACACACACACGTACATCCCTACTTTGCATTAATTATTATAAAATATTCAGAGTGAACATCTGACCACCACAAATGCTGATTCATACAAGTGCATATCAGTAAACTGTAGTTTATAAAAGCTGTGCTTCCTCCTCATAGCTGCAAGCAATATAAGTTCCAAGAACTCTTCCACCGAGTTCCATCTCTGGTCCAGCTGAAAGACCTTACTCCAGAGCAGATACTGTTTTGCTGATCAGGTCTTGAGTGTTTGCTGTAAACGGTTAAATATACCATAGATCTGTCTTTTGTTTTTGAGGTGGAAATGCACCTGCTGTAGTCCTCGGTTCATTGATCCTGGTTGTACTGTAGTTCTCCAGTTTCTGGATTCTTCCAAGCACACGTCGTAGTTCATCTTATTTAATTACATGTTTCTAGTTCCTGTGATTTAGTTCTGGTGATGGGAATGCAAAATAGTTAACTAGCTTCTGGTTCTTTTACCCGTATTGCGATACCAGTCTCTAGTATTAGTTCCCGTGCAGTAAAAGCACATAGTTCTTGGTATTTTCTTTTGGTTTTTTTTTGATAATAATTCATCGTTTTTCATAGGAAACCATTCATTCTGAAACCATTCCTAATTTATGGTGCTCTTCCTGAATTAAAAAGGCACATAGTACTCGTGAACTTCATTCATAACTTTCTTTCTTTTTAATCTATATTTACTTAATAGTTTCTTGATTCTGTATAACTCCAAAACCTAAACAAACTTTGCTTCTTAGTTTGTTTGGGCTTTGTATTTGTCCACTGAGGACAACTGACATGGTCCAGTTATAAACAACATCACTGTTGTCTGTTACCGATACACGGAATGTTTGTAGTTCAGATCGTGCAGGTGTTTACTCTTGTCTTTGGTCCCAGGTCTCGTCCTCCTTGAGTCTCCATGGCTCCAGCAGCAGCATTCGCAGCAGGAAGGAAGGAACCCTGCTAAAGATCGGCGAATTCCTGCAGAGCTCACCCACGCTCTTCAGTTCTAAAGGTCAGTCGCTTGGTGAAAAAACTGATTTCATATCATTCATCCAACCGCAGGAGATTAATGATGACAATATTACTGTGGTCTTTAACAAGACAGAAATGGCAGTCAAGTAAATCTACAGACACAAACAGTAGAAAGTGTTCATGGTGGTTTTACCACAGACCTGTGTTTCTGCTGAGAGTCAACAAACTATCTTCAGTCTGAGTAAATCATTAGTTCTTTTCATGGGTTTGTAATTGACAGTCTTCAGTACTACAAACTCCAAATACACACTCGGGAGTTTTTCCAGGATTCATTCAACCTTCCTCCTGGAACGCCTCACCCCCCCATGAACCTAACCAATGCCTGATGAACATCTTTGATACAGAAAGATGAAGTGTGACATTGAGGGTCATTATTTAGGGTCGGAAACACACGAGAGTACGAGGTGTTTTTCGTCCTCAGAGACGTGAACTTTCACACTCATTAATTTACTCAGACTTTGATTGTCTCATCTGTCTCTGTCTCTCTCTTTCTCTTTCTTTCCCATCTGTGTCTCTCTCCTCCTTTTTTTCTCTTTTTTTTTGCTCTCTCTTCATCATTTCTAATTACTATGCACCTTCATTCTGAGTCCTGTATTAAATGGCTTATTTGACTTTTGTAACAATAAAGTCAATACAAAATACTATTTTAAAACCACTTACTCTTCCATAAGAAACACAGTAGAGAAAAACATTTTCCCCAAACAGCCAGGAGTTGTTGATCCATCACTGACATTCAGGTACTCGTGAGATTTCAGTTATGAACTTTCTTTTCTTAGTAACACAAAGTAACATTCTCATGTCCCGTTGAATGTTTTTTTTGTGCAGCTAAAAAGATGATGAGTCTGGTGAGCAGTCGCAACGAAACAGCGTCTGCGTCTTCTTCATCGTCATCGTCTATGAGTCTAAAAACTACGAAGAACAAACGCAAACTCTTCAGACCTGAGATCTCCTCACCCATGGACCTGCCATCACATAATGTGAGTTTGGTTTTATACACATTCTAACCCTTGTCAGGGCACAAGTCATTTTTTCTTCTAACCCACTCAGATAGTGTTTTCAAAATAAAAGCCCCTGGATTTTAGACTGTATCCTATTGCTTGTTATTTGGACATACACCAATAAACATTTCAAAACTTACATCATGCATGTTGTGCTCCAAAGATACAACAAAAGACCTTATGTTCATCTTCCTTTTTAGAGCCCTTATTTCTGTATTGTTTTTTTTCTTCTTTTCTAGATCATCAACATGGAGGCTGAGGAACGAGACAGTGACCATCAGATAATCAAACGGCGTCTTCGCTCCAGGATTGTCAAATAATTTCCCTTTTTGCATCTTAATGACTCCGTTATTCAAAAAGTTAAAACACAATTTTGTATTTTATATATATATATATATATATATATATATATATATACACACACATATACAGTATGTATGCTAAGAGTCAAGTAACAACACTGTCATATTGATATGACAGCATTTTATAATCACTACCACTCTGCTGCAGTCAGAGTACTGATCTGAGTTTATTCAGAAGGTAATCACCTCATAAATTCACCAATCATCTCTAATAAACTGTTAGTTAATGTTAAAGCTGTTACTAATGCACTACACATTTGGAACATTTATTTTTCTCTTCACTTTATAGATGAAAACACTTAACTTTTGTTTTGAAAGTGCAATTTATTTCCTGTTTCCATGTGCTGGAGTGACTGTTCCCAAGTGGTTTTCGTTGGACTGTTGGCCTTGGTTTTTGTTAACGGCTCCGCCCACAACACTCTTATTGCACTTTATATCTAATTAGTCTTCATAAATGTTAACAGGAACTGATGCTGCTGCAGCTCCGTGTTTGAAGCTGCTTGTTGGGAAAGGCTGCATTTTCCTGTTCACTGTTCTTTTTTTTAGGTTGCGTCACAGTTGACTATTAAAAAAAAAACAGGAAAATTAATTTCTCATTTTTTTTACATTTCTTTTATAGACTTTTTGTTGAAGAGGGGTTAAACTTGCATTGGTTTGTAATCTGTTTATTGAGAATATTAGTTTTGCAGGAATCAAACTGTATAAGTCGCGGAATCACTCGCAGAGTTTTAAAGCAGTAGCTGTTAATGCGTTGATGTGGGGAAATTTAACAATAGTCCTACCTACAAAAGGGGGCACTGTAGAAAAAGTTTGGGATCCACTGACTTAGAGAGACACTTCAGTGCACTGCTGCCTCATGTGGTCAAATGGGGTCATTGATGTAAACCTTGACCTTGGTGATGGGGCGGCAGTGGTATAACACCTGATTAGTGTGTACCGTGTAGACATTAGTATCAGTTGCCTCTGAAGCAGGACCTTTTTAGGAACATAGTTTGAGTCCACGTCACGTGCACACACAGACATGCACACGTGTAGACAGCACAAAGAGAGCTGTTAATAAAGACACAGCTGTGAAGGAAGTGATTTTCCAAAATTGCTTTAGAGTGTTTTTGTCTGCAACACATTCAGAACTAACGTACACGGCTGTTGCTCTTAAAGAGGAGACGTGCACGGCCGTGCAGGCTTTATTCATGTCCTCATTTACCCTTCTCTGCTGTGAAGACGTAGATGATAATGATGACATCAATAAAGCTGCGCTATCATACCGTTTTTTTTCCCTCCTCCTCGCCCTCTCCCTAATCTCTCTCTCTTCTTCCTTTTTCTTTAATCTTTTAACTAATGCCAATGTTTTCCTTACTCCTGTCTTTCTTTTCCAACACATTTTGTTTTTGTCTTTCTACCTTCTAAAATATTTCCCTGGTTCTTGTCATCCTTCTCCTCTATTTTTCATCACCCCATTTCATTCACATTCCTTTTCTTCTCCCCCTACTTTTCAGTCTCATCATCATTTGCTGGTGATTTCTGTTCCTTTGATAATCACTGGTCTTTTTCTGTCTCCTTTTTAACTTCTCTTCCCTAGTCCTCTTTTTATATGTTTTATTTTAAAAATGTCCCCTATTTTCTGTTTTTTTCTACCTCCATCCTTGTTTTCTTTTCCCACTCTCACTTCCTTCTTCTCCCTTCTGTTTCCCTCTGTTTACTTTCCGTTGTTCCATTTTTTTTTAAAACAAGCCTGTCGTGTTTCTGTTTTCTGTGTCCACGTTTGTCCTTTTGACCTTGATTTCCCTCTGTTTACTTTCCAATGTTGTGTCCACGTTTGTCCTTTTGACCTTGAACCTGCTCCTGAAAAGGCCAAATGGTTATAAATAAAATCTTTTCCCACCTCAGAGTCAGTCTTCACACCTCGGTGAGGGTGTGATGTTCAGGTGGAAGGAATCTATAGTTCATAGCCACGGACTGTAAGAGGAAGTACCCCCGCTGATGACATCACAACTGTACTGGTCTGAGGTGGGTGAGTGGACGTGTATGGGCATGGTGACAGTCATGTGACCTCTCAATCCATCCAACTCTACATCAGAAACATGACAAGTACATTCATTAGTGTAAAGGTCAGAGCACTTCACACTCACATAGGCACCAGAGTCAGTGACCTGCTCTTTCTATGAAATTGGTTTGAGCGGGAGATGAAATTGCGAAGGTCTTTTGAAGAAACTGCACAGAACTGGAAAGTGAGCAGTACTTACGCTGCAGCTTGGCCGTGTTTAAAGAGGAGACCTCTCCTGAGGAGTGAAGGTCACATGACTGTCAGCCTTGCCGACGTCCTGACAGAGAAAAATAATCACATCTGTTGGTCACAGCTGCTTCTCTGTGTTTGATCCAGACTTTTCGAGGTTTGACAGAAAGGGCAATAGTTTCAGCACGGTGTGATGCAACGGTCACGTCTGCAGAGAAAGACATCTGTAGAAACATCATCCCCACTGACAGGTGGTGCACCTGAGCTCCACATTCTCCACTGCTCATGTGATAGTTGACAGTTAATTGGCATTTCAGCTTCAGGAATCTGTGTTGAAATTGTTGCCGTCCCCTAAACAGCCCCCCAACAGTGAAGCATTGTGACTTTTTTCTTTGTCATGTTTGACGTGAATCTTCTCAGGACTGCTGCATCAAACCTTTCTTCACTCTTTTGGCTTCTTATAGCTCTGTTAGTATAATAGCTTGTTTTTCTGTTCTGCTTCATGTCTTTTATGATTTTGAAATTTTTTACTTATTTTAAGCTTGTGCTTTATGTTTGTTTCTTTAGCTGCATTTATTCCCTGTTTTCTTTGCTTCTTATTTGTGTATTGCATTGAGCGCTATCATTTTTTGCCTCTATTTCCCTTTTGGCTACTTTGAATTCTTTTTAAGACCTTTTTCCTTCTTTCTTTGTAATCAATCATTTTTCTGTTGCAGGCAGTCATGTGTTCACTGAGATCCAGCCTTTGAGTCCAAGGCTGGTTCTAACAGCAGGTCACATTCACACAATCTGTTTTTTCAACATCGCATGGCCTCTGACCCTTTAATAATATATGACATTTCCCATCATGCATCTGTGTTTCAGTGTCACATTAAAGATCGAAACACAGGCGCAGTCCGTCCAATCAGAACACGGCTGCACATCGTGCCATGACCCCTCAAACATACCCTTTCTCTGACCCTGAAACTGTGTGTCCAAGGAGGGAAAAAGTAAGAAAGGTGGAGCAAGAGAAGGAGTAAAATAGTAGGAGGAAACCTGAGGACAGAAGCCAAGCTGGAAAAAGAATGGTGATGTATGTGGAAGTGGAGGGCAGACCAAGAACTTAAAGAAGAGAGGAGGAGAAAGAAAGACAAAAGTGGACAAGGTGTAGAAAGATAAAGAAATGAGAAGGAACAAATATTGATAGAAAGCTGTGGAGAACATGACGACATGAATACGGGAGATGAGAGTGGAACAAAATGAGGAACAGTGTAGGAGGGGTGGAAGAGGAAGTGATGAGGAGTAAGGATGGTGTCAGTGGAAACCAGTGAATCATCTTTCCGTTTGTTTGTTTTTATCTACACATGCTCACACTGAGCTCCTACTGTTTCCTCTGCGGATGGAATTTACGGTTTTATGAATGGACTTTGGTGAATGTGTCACATCATCATTTAAGACTGACATTAAATTAAAAAGTTAAAAAATAGTATTTCACACTAATTCACTTTTAGCCAAAGTTTAAATCTAGGTTGAATTTCAGGTTGTTGGACGTCTCTGAAGGGTAGGTGGCGTTGTTTCAGTTCTCCTGTCCCAATTTCTGACTTCCTTGACAAATTTCAAGCAGTAATGTGTCATTTATTTTCAGCTGCAGGAAGTGTCAGGAGAAAAAAAAACCCTTGAGGTCAGTGAGACTCCAGAAGACTTTCAGTCCCTGGAGACATTTATTTCCTCTACTTGTCCTTTACTTGGACATCTCTTTTTTTTGTCTTGAGCATTTGACTGATATGTTTTCTGCTAAATTTGTCACAAACTGATGCCTACAGGTTTTCAAGGTCTCAGAAACAAGACCTTTATTTTGAAGTGTATAGTTCTCCTCAGACATTAGTTAACATCTGACCAGCTCTAACCTGAGGATCAGAGGAGGAACACGCCCTCGCCTCGGGCATTAACTTTTGGGCACGAGTAAAAAAACAAGGAAAAATAGACACGTTTAATTGGATGTACAGCAAAGGATGATATCACTGAGCTTGGGTGTCAAAGGTCACATCAGCTGCTGTTAAAAATTAGGTTTAGCCCATGACTCAACTCCACTTCACCTTACAGAGTCTTTGTGTTTTGTTTGTCCGTTTTTAGTCCTCACCAAGGTGTCTTTTGACAACTTTGTTTCTGGGTCCTCACCAAAATTTGCAAAATTTGTGATGACGATAAACATTACCATCATTTTCAAGAATATTCTTTTTAAAATGTGACATTAAAATGAATCTTTTTTTAAAAATATAATATATAAGAATATATACACATTGTCGTCTTTCAAAAACATTTGTCAGGAAATGATGAGACTCTGTCAGTCCCCAAGGATGCTCACTTTTTTCAGCTTGTCCTTCAAAGAGAAGACAAATCTTTTTTATTTTTTTTGTATTTTAGGAGAAGACCGTGGCTCTTGACTGACCTGGGGATCTTGGGAGAACTTTAACGGACATGATAAATGGAGGACAAATAATCCTATATTTACATCACTGTAAGTACAACTACGTCACTTCTGCAAACAGTACAGTACATTCAGCAGACTTCTATAGGATTTATATATGGTGCTACAGTTTAGTACAGAGACATGGACAAAGAGGACAAACTTCAGGGTGATGGATTTTTCTTGTCAAGACGAGAAAAGCTCCTTCATGTTATTGAAGTCATAACTGTGTTGTTAAAAGCTGCAAAAGTGATAAGAGGATTAAACGTTAAAAGTGATCTAATTAAATTTTAATTTTAATTAAAATGTATTTTGTGTGAGGCTGTGTGTGCGTGACTGTGTGTGACAGTGTGTGTTCTGTCAAATGGATTTTTTTTAAACACAATCAATTTTCCATTTAAAAATGTTTTAATCCTAGTCAAAGCTGCTGAAGTGTTTCATTTAAATTCCCATTAACTCCGACTCTGTGTAAGAAGTGAAAGGTCGGTCATTAATGCACTGATTTATGCCAGTCTAGCACATGCATCCCGACGTGCACAGCCAGCAGAAAAAGAACAGTCATTATTTTCAATGATGCTCCAGTTACCTGAATTCATCCTTTCATTTATCCAGAGCACTGACATGGAATCGTTGTAGTCTGAGTCTTTGTGTTCTCTAATGCACATTGTTGCTTGTTTTTCAAACAGAAAATTAAGTGGAAAAACCACAAATGAAAAGAGTCGTCACAATGATGTAACAAAGTCCAAAGCGAAACTAGGGTATTTTAGGACTCACAAAGACAGAGAGGCTGCTGGTTAACTGCTGCCTCATGTGGTCAGTTTGTGTCACTGTGAGCTAAAACAGAAGGAATATTTCTAAACACCTTGGTCACAAAATAGTTCTGGATATATTTAGGGCAGCAGTGGATCAAAAACTACTGCACGCTATGGTACAAAATCACTCAGTTTCTCTATGGACTTTGGTGGAGGATGTATTCCATCTGAATTTGCAGTGATAAAAATATCTATATATGTCTTATGAAATATGTGCAACAGATGTTTTTTAAACCCCGAAGTGAAGCAGCGTGGGTCACGTGATGCAGGCTCCACTGAACATCCTGGTTTTAACTGCGGACAGAAACTCGTTTGATGTCTGTGGTTTAAATTCAGATTTCTCACCTGGAGGCTGAATCCTGCTCCGAGTCCATCGGCAGCACAAAGTGCCGTGAAACAGTTTCAGTGGAATGTATAGAATAAATCCCATGGCTGAAGCTGAGAAACTGAATCGCTTGTCTGACCTAAAATTCGATGATTATTTATAGATGGACATGTCACTACATGAAGCTGCTTCAGAAGATGAGGATGATTTTTGATGAAAAAGAAAATGAATCAAAGCAGATGTTTGATTTGTGTGCCAGCGAGCCCATCATGAAATTTTCAGAAAGTGACTCTGTGAGAGAAGAAACGTTCTGCTGCTCCACTCACTATATTAAGATATTCTCTGTGGAAACAAAATCTAATCACAGAAAAACACTGGGTAAATCCTTTTCATCACCTGCAGGATTGTTACTTCACTTTAGTTAATATCACCGCACCTCAGACTGGCTCATATTCTTACATAACAGCGTACAGTTATTGCCACTGTGCCGACGTCTTTGTTGATTTGTTCTGCTCCGTAATACTGTACATCATGAAAATGTGTGTTTTTTTCCTCATACTCTGTCTTCCCTTTAAAAAAATAGGATTCACTGATTAGAGTTCACTGTGAATTCACCAGCTGTAGGAGTTAGTGTTTGAAGTTTGTTTGTTAGTTTCAGTATGTGATGAACTGGTCAACTGTCCAGGATGTACCTCACCCACAGGAGAGGGAATCCGAACACACACACACTCCTGACTCTTCCTGTCCTCCATCAAATACCCTGTGATGGATGATACCTGTTTGTTTTGAACATAACACTAATAAGACTTTTTTTTTCTCCCCCTTTCTCACCCCCTCAACCCATTTAATCTTTTGTCCTCCTCTTTTCCCTCTTTTCTCTTCCTTCTGTTTACCTGTTTTCTCTTCTGTCCCTCTTCACCGATGAGAAAGAGCCCTCAGACCAGTAGTAGGCGTTGTATGCCTGATAATGACAGTGATTGGATGAGAGGAGGAAATAAGACGAGCTAATGAGGAGGAGAGCGGCTAATTTAATTTTGGAGGCAGAAGAGGACAAAGATGAAGACAAACGTTCTTGTCTCCTCTTGTTATTTCCTGTCTTAGTCTCCATGTCATTTGTTCAGATCTGACCTCAGTTCAGTTTCAACATTTTACTGACATTCTGTGTAGTTCCACCAGAAACCTCAGGGCGGGGCTACCGGCAACTGGTGTTGTGCTTCTCACTGAACGCAGGGGGCGCCATTTTAAGGTAAGAACTCGAAGTAATTTTAACCGTAAGTAATTATTTCTGAATTAATAACCTTGTTTTCTTATTTTTCATTTACAGGGTCATATTTATAGAAGAACTTCTATGTAAGTATGGAGTTAATTTTCTTTTTAAAATTAACTTGAGGACAAAGGGGAGAAAAGAAAATTCTCACTGTAGGAAATAACATAAATAAACACCTGAAGTCAATTGGTGCAAGAAGAAATACAACTGAACACATGCTTGTCTCACTGTAGGAAAAAACATAAATAAACACCTGAAGTCAATTGTGAATGTGATTGGGCTCCTGTTTGGTGAGCAACAAGACGTTTTAGCTAAGGGCCTAATTATTTGCACTACTGGATGCTAAAAAATAATTGTGTTTGGTAAAAAAACAAATCTGATAAATTGAAGCAGTAACATGTCAACAATTTTTTTAACAGTTTAGAGAAATACTTCTATTATTTTTATAATTTTAAAATTATTTTTTCTATGATGATTTTTAAAAGATGACATTACATTTTATTGTTATTAGTCCAGAAATAAAATCAAATATGTAAAAAGGCCTCCAGGAGACTTTTCAAGGAAACCACAGATGGAGCAACTGTGTTTTGTGAGTCTCTCTGTACAAATGTATGTTGGTTAAGTGTTTGCTCAGAGAAATTATAAACAAAACATTTGTTGACAGCACAGCATTGACTTTGTGTCTCCTCTATCACATAAATGTGAGCCTTTGCCCAACGGCAAATCTGTTGCTGAAACTTGCTGACGGTTTTTTAATTTGTAATTAAAGTAATCAAAGTGTTGTTTTTAAACTTGTGTACTCTATTATTTCCTTTCTCCTATTTTCACAGCCTTCCCAACTGTGACGAAGCTGCTGAGGATTGAGATCTCATCAGATCTCTCTGAGGAAAACACATTAATACACAGCTTCTGTGTGTGTGTGTGTGTGTGTGTGTGTGTGTGACAGAGAATTTGAGAGATAGCGGTCATGAACCTTCGTCAGTTCTCAGAAACACTAATGGAATAAAGAGAGAATGAGAAGAAAAGAAAAAGATGGATTAGAAAATGCTACTTTTGTGACTGTATTTTTTTAAAGAGACATTGTCAATGTCACTTACATAACAAACAGACAGGAGGCATCAGCCTGCTCACAGACAGAGTGATAATTGATTCGATCAGCACCATGGACAGCGGCCATGCCAGAAAGAGACAGAGGCTACAGTCTCAGTGCCATGGACAGTGCTCATCTTAGGAAGACAGTGGAGATTAGATCAGCACCACGGACAGGGCTTATCTCAGTGGAACGAGAAGGAGAAGAATCAGCACCATGGACAGCGTTGACACGGGAAAGAAAGCAATCAGTCCCATGGACAGCGGTGATGCAATGTCGAAAAGAGTCAGCACCAGGGACAGTGTTGTCACAGGAAGGAACAGCCAGAACGAGATGTTCAGCAGAGGCCTTCAAGGTAATTCATGCCAATGAATTCATGCCAAACCTCTAAACTGAAGTTGTACTCGAGGAATGCCCCCCCCAAATATGAAATGTATAAAATGACAAGAAAATGTATTCCCCTCCTAAAGTGTTCATTTCAGAGAGACACGGGAAAGTACAAAATCAGCACCACGGACAGCGTGGAGGCAGCACAAGCTGGCCCCTGAGAAAACCACCATCATAAATCATGTTCTCAGAGCTGAGACCAGTTTTTAACATACTGTACGTTTAATAAAATATGATCCTTCGTTTGAAGTTTGTAAACCTGTCAATCTCCACGACCCACAGAGACAGTTGGACTGTAGCTGCTGGTCTACAGAGTGTGTCACTGAAAAAAAATCAAAATCACAGAAGCTCATATAATCTCTCTTGGTCCGAGTGAGACTCTGGTTCATTCTTTGTTAATGTACAGCTGTCAGGTTGTTTTACTTCTGCTCTCTCTCTCTCTCACACACTCTCACTCCCTCTCTCTCTCCTGTTATTTTCTACTTACATTAATTTATGAATGATGTTGTTCAACTTACATTAATTTATGAATGATGTTGTGTTTTATGTCTCTCAGCAGTCGCTGCTGGTCACATGACCTGACAACGGACGCAGGACAGCTGGCCTCCCTGCAGGTAAGCATGTGTGTGTGTGTGTGGGTATGTGTGTGTTGATTTAAGATGATCAGTGCTGTGAACGTGTGAGGGAAATTAGGAGGGAAAAAAGATGGATGAGAACTTTTCCTTCAGTCTGCTGCTCAGCTCTGCAGTGAAGTGAATTACAACAGGCAGTAACAAAAATCAATTTTTGCCACAATTTCAGAGGCAGATGTTTCTTCCTGATAAACATTCCCCTCTCCGTACTGTACAAACTGGTTTCAGCGTAGTAATTAATCTGTCACTTCACACATTTACAACTCCCACTTCGAGTCTGTCCTCAATTTGCGTTCACGCTGGGCCACATGCAATTTGGACAATGTCCAAACTGCCCATAAAGTCCATGTTATTGTGTGATAACGATACCAATAACTATGATGAATAACTGATTCTTTGTGACCATAACCCATCTACCACATTAAATACATAATATTTATCCTGAAACTGAAAATGATAAACACACAAAAAATTTATTATAATTGTAATTATAATTAAATTAAGTTAATAACACAAATGTGGCTAGTAGGAGAAACAGCAGGTACCATAACCCATCTACCACATTAAAGACACAATATTTATCCTGAAACTGAAAATGTGGCTAGTAGGAGAAACAGCAGGTAAAGATGAACATCTGATAGAATCTACACAAGTTCAAAACATTAGACTTTACATCAGGAAAGCACTTTGAAGGTGTTGATTCACTGCTGCCTCCAAACACTCCAGTCTTTGAAATCCTCCATTTCCATAAACCTCCGACCACAAGGGCCAGCAGCAACAGAACGGTTCGTCTCTCCAGTAAGCTAAAATCAGTCATTTTTTCCCACATAGAGGTGAAGTGTCTGAGAACAAGATTTGTAGCAGTTTTTGAGTCAGAGGAAGGAGCCCAACACTGTGTGAACGCGTGAAGTCATGAAGTTGTGCTTAGATTCTCTTCGTGGCATTTGTGTTGCTCCATAAATATTTCCATCTCTGCAGCTAGTCATTTTTTCTTCTCTGACATCAGACTGTAATGAATATTTATTGGGACTCAAAGAGAGGCAGAGCGAGAGTGAGAGAGAGACATTCAGAGTCATTTAGAAACTTCAGTTTCCTGTTGGAAATGTCCCAGTCACACTGAGAGACAGGGGGAGAGAGATAAAATAAAAAACAAATCCACACACAACAAAAGATGGTCGTCAGGTGACTTTAATAAACTCTCCAAATCACTCAAAGTCATTACATTGTCATCACACTATGCATTTGCTTTCAAATAAACTTTACATTTGAATTTTGTCATGACAAAATTGTGAAAACTAATAAATAGTACTTTTTTTATTAACACAAAGAAAATAAAATCAAAAAATTTAAATCTGACCTAAATGTTAATGACACCACTGCAGTGTCTGTCACAGACTAAATTAATTTGCAGAAGAAAATTAAAAACTGTTTAATAATTTAAAAAAAATGTCTAATTGATGTTATGAATGCAATTCATTTAGCATTATCTTTTATCATAATCAACCGTCAAAGAACTCTGTGTTTTACCAAAATACCATTTCAAGTTAACAAGGACTACTAAGCAGTTACACCAATAATAGATAATCAGTGATATCCAAATGATATCAATATGAAAATAACAGTTTAAATCTCTGTATTGGAAAATAAACATTAAATTATTAGATTTTGGGTCTCTAAATCCCCCAGCGCAAAACTTTGTCCTTCTGGAAAAAGTTTCAGTGATTAAAATGATAAACACAGGACAAGACAGGAAGCGTGGCCTACTTTAACAGTTATGGTTAATTCATTTTGAATTAGTCAAAGCTTGGCAACACAGAAAAGAATCTTAATATTAAACAGAGCGCATCTTCTTCTTTTTTAAGTATTTAGTTGTGTTATGGCAGCATGAAAACCACTTCTTTCCAGAGGACAGCAATGCCATTTAAAATAAGCAGATGCTAACTGCTGAGCTAATTAGCATCAATGTAAACAAACAAACAGTTTTTTTCCTGTGTTTTAGAATTAAGTAAACAGTTATGTAACGGTGGTTAAATAACAGGGCAAACTGGGTGAAGTGATTGTGAGTCAGAATCCGTTGTATCTGTGGTCTGATATTGTCGTATTGACTTTGTGTGTTACTCTCAGGACAATCTGCTCCAATAGGACAACATCATAGACTGTGTATGTTATAGCCAATCCTTATTTACACTGTGCTTCTCCATGTGCTGTAACCTCCGTTGAATGACTGTAGTGACAGTCAGTCCTTTTGTGCGAAAGTTTTATCTTGGCAACGTCAAGTTTTGCTCCGTTTGGGAGTACCTTTAAAATTACCGTTTGTTCAGAGACCACGTTTGAAAATACTGTTACAACAACATCCTACAGTGTGTCATATTATCACCACGGTGAACAATATACATAGTGTGTGTAGATAGGAGGAGAGACTGTGTGATCCACAGCTAGGATCGTCCAATAAGAGAAAGTACGCAAGTAAAATCTCTGGACTTTTTTTTTTTTAAAGTAAACATCATTTAATCTCCAGACTTGACCACTGTGCGGAACCAGACAACTTTGTTTTTGTTACTTAATTTGTGACTTTCACACATCTGGAACCACGGTACTCTAGCTGTGGGTTTGTCCTACAAGCAAAGCAACCGTTGAACTTCGCTGCCATTGCTGCTCTGTGCACAGAGGCTCTGTCCTGACACGTGCCTTTGGTTCGGCACATTTTAAAGAACACCGTCCTGTCTGCTCCTGTTCTGCTCCTGTTCTTCTTGGTTCCAACTCTTTGCAGAACATTCAGGATCCTGGCAGCACCACTGCCACGTGACCTTTCATGGTGGTACTCATTTGGGAGTGTAAATGTTGTCGCTGCTATGCCACGTCACTGTCGGGCCTTTCCACCAGCTTCAGCGCCTCGTGCATACCCACTGCTGACAGCTTCCTGTTGATGTTCCTGTAGCGGCAGCGCAGCAGGTTGCTGTAGGTGGTGCGCAGGTCACGGTTAAAGAAAGCATAGATGAAGGGGTTAATGAGACAGTTGGCATAGCCCAGCCAGAGCAGAGTCCTCTCCAGCCACAGTGGCACGCAGCTGCACTCCACGCCGCAGACAAAAGGCCGAGCAGTGGACACCAGAAAAAATGGCAGCCAGCAGAAGGTGAAGGCGCCGACCACGATTCCAAGGGTGGCTGCTGCCTTCTGCTCCCGTTTGAAGATAGACTGGTTTTTCCTTTGGCGTCGCTGGTGGTGGTGGTGGTCACCAGTCTTCAGAAGGCGGGAAACTCGGGAGCTGCATTCCTCTTCCACCTCACGCTGAAGCTTTAGTGCTGCTGCTACACAGTCCAGGCTCTCCTCCTCCTCCTCAGGCTCCACCACCTCCGTCCCTTCCACACTGGCCGTTTCTCCAGACTCTGGCGACTGCAGGACCCCGAGCCGTCCTTTTGCCCGTGGTCCTGCCACCTCCCCCTCCCTAGGAAACCCTGTGATGGTGTGCTTGGCGGCGCTGAGTTTTGCAGCGCGGTAAATCCTGTAGTACATGAACAACATGACGGACATGGGGATGTAAAAGGCTACGGCCGTGGAGTAGACGGTGTAGCCCAGGTCCTGACTGATGAGGCAGACGCTGCCGTCGTTGATGTTCTGGGCCCAACCGAACAGTGGGGGCAGCGTGATGGAGGCGGCGAGCAGCCACACCGACACGATCATCTTTGCCATGCAGCAGCCATTCTGACGCACGGGATACGTCAGGGGTTTGGTGATGCCCAGATACCTGTGACCAAAACAGATGGAACCAGTTCAGGATGTTGTCTCCCTCATCATTCAGTCCATGCAGACAATCAGTGATTATCACTACAGTATAGATGAGGTTAAATTGAACTTTTTTATGTTCAGATTATAATTTAATGTTTAAAAAGTTTGTCAAGTGGAAGAACAGACAAACATTCACAGACTGGAACAGACAGATTTGATCAGTTAATCTGGGTCAGTCCGCGTGTCCCCCCTTTGTCTCACCTGTCGATGCTGATGACACACAGCGTCATGATGGACGCGGTACAACACATCACGTCCATGGCGATGAAAACGTTACAGAAAAACTGACCGAAGATCCACTGACCACCGATGAGGTCCGTGATGCTGACGAAGGGCATGACGGCGAGCGCCACGGACAGGTCAGCCATCGCCAGTGATACAATCAGGTAGTTGGAAGGTTGGCGCAGCTTCTTGACGAAGCAGACCGAGATGACCACCAGCAGGTTCCCGCAGATGGTAGAGAGCGTCAGCAGCGTCAGCGCACCGCCGATCAGAACCTTCTCCGCAGGTCCGTAGTTCAGGATCTGCTCCCCGCAACGCGTTCCGTTCGTCTCCATCACCCAGGTCTGAGTGGAGGATGCGCAGGGATGCGTTGTCGCCGCTGCAGCTGCCGCAGCTGCTGCCGCCTCCGCGGCGTTCTGTGCGATCTTCCGCAGACGCGGTGCCAAAGCCTCTGACAGCAGAACGCCCGCATCCGCGCCAGCGGTTCGCGCAGAATTCATGGTATCGGTTCCAAAGGTTCCGTTACTCAGTGCCACCACGACCATGCTTCCACCGCGGAGACCGGCTCATTCGTACATGTGGAGCCCGACCCGCTGCTGACATGGACGCGCACAGATGCTGTCCTCACGTGCTCCTTTCACAAACTCCAAACCACTCTCCGCTGCTTCTATTTACGCACACGCGAGTCATTGCGCACGAGCCACGGCGTGGCAAAAATCTTAATATACACGAACTCTGAAACGTGGGAGTGACCAGTCTGTGGAACCAAAACCTCTGAAAGGAGCTGCAATCATGTGCCCAAAAACTTTGACATGTGACGTCAGAATGTCTCATAGACATCCTATAGGCTGCAGTAAGGAACGGTCCACATGCGTGTCCACACACAAACAAGCACGCACACAAACAACAGCATCCTGAGCCATAAAGGACTCCTTCACGCTACGCGTAATTACGCACGGCGAGACTCCCTCTCTCTTCCTCTCTCTCTTTCTCTCTCTCTCTCTTCCTCTCTTTTACACCAGTGGTGAAATTTGAGACACATTCGAGTGTCAACATAACGTAAATATTGAAGAAGATGATAATGTGAATCAAGATGGAAAAAAAGATCAAATTGAGAACGTGGATAAATAGAAAAGAATTAGAAAGTATTAAGATAAAAATATTTAAGTACATTAAGACGGAGTTGAAAATGGTGACTGCGTTTAAAGTGAGAGGTGAAGGTGGACATTAAACCACCAATGAAAGTCATGTTGAGGTGTAAAAATATAATTAAGGATGTTTATGATGACGAGGTGAAGATGACGGTCAAGGTGACAGTAAAGATGAACGTAAAATCAAAACGAGGATTTAACGGTGGCTGAGCTATTAATGAGGATTACATTGATGTTGGGATAAAATGGAGATTAAAATAAGCTTACGGGTAAAATGAGGACGAAAATCAGTGCACGCACAAATTGCTGATTAAATTAGGATAAGGTTGAAGATAATTAAAAAAAATCAGTTTCCTGTACGTCTGTACCAAAGACACCACCTCATCCTCTCCATCCCTTTGGTCTGGGGTAACTTCGTTACCATCGTCTCTCTGTTTGTAGAAAAATACAGAGGCGCGCGGCAGTATTAATGTTTGGGACAACAGCGACCTCACGTGGTGATAGAACCCCACTGCATGGCATTTAAAGTACTGGTTTGACAAGTGAAATGTGTCCATTTGGGTGTGTTTGTGAGAGAGAGAGAGAGAGAAAGACGAAAAATCCAACACACACTGTTTGCTCTCTGTGGTAAACAGTGTAAGTGTCGTGTTTCAACTTTAAAGTCACTGCCACAAATCAATGGCCTCCTGTTCGAATTGACTCAAGTTAATTTTATTTCATGGCATTTGTGTGAATATAGACACAAATTACTCTAATTTTTCCTCTGGTTTCAGGGATTTTTATTATTATTATTAATTGTTTGTTTTTTTAAATAACATTTGCCATTAAATGCTTTTATTGTGAAGGCGCTCACTTCCGGGATTTCCCAGCCTGGAACAGCGGGTTGCCGGTTTGAGGGAAAAGGAGTAGGAGGAGCAGTGCCCGCGGCCAACCGCGGAACCGGATCTGGATATTTCGGAGCAGTGGCAGCAGATTTCCAGACAGAAGAAGGAGCTGAGGAAGAAGAAGTGAGCGCTGAGCGAAAGCTCTGATGGGGCCGAGCTGCGTAGCTGTTTCTGCGGTTTACAAGCTGTGCAGCACATCCGGTTTTTCCTCCACCTGCTGAGGCACATCATCATTGGCTGCTGCCTGGGAATGACTCATCACCAGCGGGACACACACGTTCCGTGTCCGATTCATTAACGGTTCTCTGGACTTGGATTCCTCACACAGAAAAAAAAACATGGAGGAAATTCTTAAGAAACTCCACAAAGACGCTTCCGGGCATAAGCACAAAGCAATCCGCGACGCGAGCGTCTCTGCTCGGGGTAAGTGGCCGGGATAGTCCTCTCCTCCTCCATCATCGACGTTATTCTCCACCTTCTTCATCATCATCTTCATCCTCATCCTCCACCCTGCTGTATCCACCTGCTGCACACACACCATTTTTGATATAATCTCTATCATTATTCAAATCGTTTTTAACTGTTTCCATAAATGCAAATATTAACGTTGTCCGTTTAAGTCACAGTATTGTTAACCGGCCATTACAATACCAATTATTTTTATTGGATTTTTTATTATTCCTTTCAAAGTGTATTGCTATATTCCGTTTCTCTTGGTTTTGTAACAAAACCTTTTCATTTTACTATACATTTCACCTAAAAAAACCCCAACCATATAGTGTTTACATTTCCCAGGGTTGCACCCTGTGACCCTGAAAGCTGCTTCAGCTGCAGAAGTTTAACAGGTCCAGATGAGCTGCACATCCACAGGAGTCTTAAGTTGTTAGATGGAAATGTTGTGAGACCAGTTACCTTCTGATCTTCAGGAGGTTTCAGTAGTTACCGTGTGTAAACAAAGACAGGCGTCTCCACCTGCTTAGTCCACAGTGTAAACGAATGAAAGAAGTGGAAAACAACGAGAGAGAAAGTTAAAGGTGTTTACTCTCAGCTGAAGCACCAAGGAAGGAGGGGTGAGAGAGAGAGAGAGAGAGAGATGAGCAGTTTAAAATATTTATTTAGAGGAGATAGAAATGTGCTGGACTGAACATGTAATGAAATATTTCAGTTAAAAACTGCCAAAGCTAAATCACAGAATATTTAAATCAGTCATTAAAAATATTTTTATACAAATATTTCATTTATTTCACTATCTAATGCATTGCTGTGATGCCTCCCGAGGCCCACACTCACATTAAAAAATCTGCTGAGTCATGGTTCAAAATGCATCCAAAATATTTGTGCCTTTTTATGCCTCTCTCTCTCTCTTTCTCTTACTCTCTCTCTCTCTCCCTCTCTCTAGCTCCTTCTCTTCATGTTGTAAATAATTCCTAACCTGTCTTTCATATTCTTTCTTTTTTGTGTGTTAAACACCAGAGATGCTGGAGTCATACAGCAGATCGACTGACATTTCTGCATCTAAGATGAGGTGAGTCAGCAGATTATACAGTGACATAAACAACACCACTAACATCAACACGACACCAACATCAACACAACTGACTACACACAGTTACTGAGCCTTAAGACCTGTTACGGCACAGCTACGAGACTTAAGTTTTATTTAGCTTAGCTTAGTTTTCAGTAAGGAGAGATGATGAATTAAGATTTTTAAAAAAACTTATTTTACACTAAAACAATGTCAGAAAAATTGTAATATTGTTATTAAAATTTGTATTTTTTTTTACATTACTAATAATACTAATAATGGTATTAAATGTTATTAACAGAGAAGTGTGTTTGTGTTTATGTGTGTCCAGAGAGTGTTGTCTGCTACCACTGCAGATGGCGCTGGAGTCCAAAAACACTAAACTGGGACAAACAGCCCTGTGTGGGATGCAGGTATGTGGTAATCTGTGCCATTTCCTTCTGTAAAAGTAGCAGACAAGTTTAAAAAAAAGTTAAGGTTTACAAAAAACAAACGACTTAGTTGAAAAAAAATCTTAACACTGCACTTGTATATGGCTTTAGTAATGACAGTTAGCAGTGATGTGATGAAAATTGACCTGCCCTTCTTTGTTCCTTTGGCCAATCAGAAGCTGCTGTGTGAAGACAGATTTGTGGGTGGAGTCAGCATAGATGTGGAGACTGTGGAGAAGCAGCTTCTCACACAGATGTTGGAGGCTCTCAGAGTGACACCATCTCTTCATGAAGACCTGCAGGTGGAGGTCATGAAGGTAGAACAACTCACCAGAAAAACTCTGGCCAAAGCCGATTGGATGATTCTCTGTCATGTGACCCCGTTCATACATTTGTTTCTATGTGCAGGTCCTGCTGTGCATCACTTACTTACCGAATTTTGACATTAACGGTGACGCCATCCTAAGGATCGCTGAGGTATGACGCATTTAGATTCATGTGGTAAAGCGGTAGTTCATCGACTGACATGTACTGACAGGTGAAAACATGGCTGCCTGTGCAGATACACTCCATTATCCCCTCAGAGCAGCAGCAGGTTGACCGACTAAAGTCCATTAGCAGTTCATAAATAACTGGTCCACATCATGTGTTAATGGGCCACGGTCTAATAAACATACAGTCTGGATTCTAATGCAGATGATGTGATGATGAATTTATTGAATGTCTTTACATCAGTTACAATAAAAACACTGTAAAATAATTCAATATAATAAATATTTGATGCACACAAGTCAAGAGGTCTAGCAGAATTTTATAGAATAAAACCAAAATGAGTTTTCCTAAAATTTCTGGTACTAATTTGTTTTAGACCAAGTACTAATACTGAACAGCCTTTCTCCATGTGCATCTTTCCATCAGTGTGATGCAGGTTCTTACCATGGTTTACTAAACATCAATTTCACACACAGTCCTGACTTCCTACTGACAATAACCCTCATCTCAGTGTGGTCTCCATGGAAACCTGTGATGTCATGGAAACCACTTGTAAATCTCTATGGTCACCGTTTCATGTGAGTCATGATGTGGCTTTGTGTGACTCAGATGTTAAAAAAAAGTGTTTGTGTGTGTGTGTCTTTGTGTCTTTTTAGGTATGTATTAACACCTACCTGTCCAGCTGTCACCAGCGCAGCATCAACACAGCAGTCAGAGCTACACTGAGCCAAATCCTGGGAGACCTGGCCCTGCAGCTGAGACACAGACAAGAGGTCATCCAGTCAACACACACACACACACACACAAAGATAAACCTGCAAGTTATGCATAAAGATTTAAACTCTAATTTATAAACCACTTACTTTTCTCTGCTGCCTCGTGTGGTCATTTTGTGTTACTGAGATACAGTGTATATATGTATATAATTATAAACGTAAACAGACGTGACAAAGACACTCCTGCTGCTTGTCTGCAGGGGGCAGAAGGAGATGAGATGACGTCACTGCCGCTGCAGAGGAAAGGTGAGTGTGCACGAGTGTCTGTGTGCACGTATGTGAGCATATTACATTACTGAGGTCGGTGTAAAGAAATGATTGTCGGTTATTTATACACACATTAAACTGCAGCTGCAATGCAGCAAAATGACTGTGTGCCTTTGTGTGTGTCCACGCAGACGTTTCTCCCACCAGTCAGGCTCTGTGTGAGGACGTGGTCACAGTTCTGACTGTCTTCTGTGAGAAGCTGGAGTCAGTCGACAGGTCAGGCGTAATTAGGATTTCAATACTTTATGTTTTTAAGTCGTGAAAGAAAACGTTGTAGCATAAACAAACCTGACGTCTAATCTAGGAGATAAAGCAAAAACAAATGTATCATTCTGTCATTTACCATTAATTTTTACAGTATGTTTTCCTCTGACCTCAGTGAAAACCAGATGCTGCAGCTCCTTTATCTGGAGTCCATCCTGTCCATGCTCAGCAGTTGTCCTCCCACAATGCACCTGTCCAGAGGTTTCACAGACCTTGTATGGTGAGACACCCACATCTGCAGTGTTTCTGTTCCACACATAATGGGATGTTTCTCCCAAACGTTTTCACAGTTATGTCCTCCTCCTCCTCCTCCTCCTTCTCCTTTCGTCCTATTTCTACTTCTTCTCTCAGGAAGCAGTTGTGTCCTTCCCTTGTGGCTCTCATGGGAAACCCCGTTAATGATAAGACCATCACCTCCCACCACAGCCACATGGGGGCAGCAGAGAGAGAGCGCCTTAGCCTAGGTATATGGCTTCGCTTATTTCAACACTAACTTTGTAAAAATGTGTCAAAAATCATTCTTTTCAATTCTTTTTGTTTTTATTTTAAAATTAGGAATTCACCAGGAGACTGAGTCCGGTGTCAGCGGGCTGTCTGACCAGGGCCGGGGGTCGGGCTGCTCCTCCAGCGCCCCAGCCAGGATTGCCCCGGTGGTGCGTACAGTGTGTTACATTGCGGCTGAGCTTGTGCGTTTGGTGAACTGCGTGGAGTCGATGAAGCCGGTGTTACAGTCGGTGTATCACCGTATCCTCCTGTATCCGCCCCCTCAACATCGCACTGAGGCTGTGCGCATCATGAAGGAGGTTGGTGGTTAGGTTATCAAAACAGACACACACTCAGACAACTGTTAGTCACACGTAAAGGTTGTGATGACGTTGTATAAATGTGTGACAGATCCTGGGCAGTCCTCAGCGGCTCTTTGACCTCGCTGGTCCATGTGTGGCCGAACCTGAAACCAGGAAGCGTTCTTTCACAAAGAGGAAGTCGCACCTGGACCTGCTGAAACTGTCAGTGACTCCTCTCTCTCCCGGTTCAGTCTCCAAGCATAGTTTTAAAGCCATAATGTCATGTGCAAAGCGCATTTGAGATTAGTTTTTGAAGTGTATTTATATACATCACTGATGAACAGTGAGCAGCGACTGCACTGAAGGCCCTGAAAAATAATCATTGCCAAACTAGTTTATAATTTTAAAAAACATTCACTGTTTTATCTTGCCTTTATTTATATTATAAGAAAAATAGGGTGTTAAACCACTTTGTAAAACCAAGCTCACACAAAGGCCTCATGATGACACAGAGCTCAGGACTAATGTTTACATTTTTATTTTTTCATGTTGTGGCAGAGTGATGGACGGGATGTCGGAGGCATGTATGAAAGGTGGTATCGAGGCGTGTTTCTCCTCAGTCTCCTGCGCTTGTGCCCTCCTTGGTGCTCTGGACGAGTTATCGCAAGGGCGGGGCCTCCAGCCTGAGCAGGTTTGTCTGGAAATCAGCAATGTTTATGAATATTTAATATTTGAGTTTTTGTGGTCAGTTGGTAATGCTGTATCTCTGTGTCGTCAGACAAGGCTTCTGATCAGACGATTGGATGACCTTAAAGAGGGGCCGGAGTCCACACGGGAGTCTATGGAGATCAATGAGGCTGACTTCAGGTGGCAACGACAAGTCTTGTCGTCTGAGCAGCCGCCGTGGGACTCCAACTTGTGCAACGTCCCTGGTGCCACGGAGCCCAGTCCTGACATCAGCATAAGCATCACCACTGAGACAGGACAGACGACCCTGGGCCTGGAGGTTGTGGGACGTGCCATGGGAGCAGGTCACACCACGCCTGAGGAGGATGTTCGCCTACCGTCGCCTTCGCTGTGTTGTGACGAGGAGGATGAGGATGTGGAGCCTGGCCACAGGGCAGGGCAGGCAAAAGACGGAGCAGCAGCAAGGAATGGTAGAGGGAGGAGTGGGAGAGGAGGAGTGGTGGTTCCTCCAGATGTGGTCCAGAGGAGCCACGCCCATGTTTACCCTGACATCACCAACTTCCTGTCTGTTGAATCCAGAGCGAGGACGCACCATCACACTGGAGCATCGCGCTACAGTGAGAGTAACTTCAGGTACAAGAGCGTTCAGATGAAAGTAGGAGTAGGAGTGTACGTCTGTTTGTTCCACCTGTTAACCTGTCAGGTGTTATTTTCAGCATGGAGGAGCAGGATTTGTCGCGCACTGAGTTCGATTCCTGCGATCAGTACTCTATGGCGGCAGAGAAAGACTCCGGTCGGTCTGATGTTTCCGACATCGGCTCCGACAATGTCTCTCTGGCTGACGAGGAGCAGCAAACGCCAAGAGACTGCACGGCCCAGCGATCACTCCGCACGGCTGCATTGTCACTGAAACTGCTCCGCCACCAGGAGGCGGATCAGCAAAGTGCAAGGCTCTTCGTCCAATCACTGATGGGACTGCTTACACGGCTGCTGGGACTCACCACGACAGCGGAGGTTGATCTGGCGCTTCAAAACTTTTCATCCAACTTCTGTTCTGGACTGCAGGCCGGTGAGTGTTTTCCTTTTTTTTTTTTTTACAGCTCTAAAAGAAAAAAATGATTGTGATAAACTATTTCAAAAACACATGTCCTGAGAGAATTGGGAAAAGTTTCATTTCTGGATCCCATAGACATACATTAAAAAATCCCATAAATTAGAAAATGAAGAAAGTTTTTGACACATTGTTTTGGTCACATTAGTTCATCTCCCACTTTTTATCAACATTCTATTGCCCCCACTCCTCTCCTCCCCCCTCTCTCCCTCCCTGCAGGGGGAATCCGCTCTCCTGGTTTGGAGGCCAGCGATGCTCTGAGCTGCCAATCACTGATGAACGCAGACGGACTTTACCTGGTGTCGTATTACGCTCTGCTGCTCAACCTGAAGCTGTGCTGCTGCGACTTCTACAGACGGCGAACTTTACCGCCAACGCTTGGACTGGTGAGAGAACGAGAGAGAGAGAGAAGCCAGCTGTGATGTCACTGGTAACTAACAGGTGTGTGTGTATGTGTGTGTGTGTGTTATTACAGTGTTTTTTTGCCCGTGTGATCCAGAGCAGCGGCATCCTTGTGGTTTTATCACAGGCCTGGATTGAGGAGCTGTATCACCAGGTGTTAGAGCGCAACCTGCTGGGTGATGCTGGACACTGGAGCTCAGCAGAGGAACACACACTGCCACTCATTACAATGCTAACAGGTACACAGTGATACACACACAAACACACACTGTTTTTTATGTAATGCAGACTTTACTAAATAACAGACCCAAATTATGTCAGTGTCATTTTAGGTCAGTGAATTGTTCATTAAAATTTACCACTTGTTCTTCTCAGATATTGACGGTCTGGGCAGCAGTGCGATTGGTGGTCAGCTGATCAATCGCTCGTCCACTCACTCTCCCCTTGGCTGTGACGTAGTTAGCAGTGACGCAGTCACCGCAGGTGAGTTTAGCTTCGTCACACATAATTATCAACACATCCACTCTTTTATATCATCTGTATTTTTGTTTTTTTTGTTTTTTTCAGGATCGTCCAGTTCCCGTTTTGTCCTCACCGGCGTCTGGAAGAACTTGATGGACGTTCTGTCCACGCCCCTGACGGGTCGCATGGCGGGCAGCTCACGCTCGCTGAGCTTCAGCAGAGAACAGAGTCAGAGGGAGAGGGACGCCATCTGTCTGAGTCTGGACGGTCTCAGGAAGGCTGCCGCTCTCAGCTGCTCTCTCGGTAACTGAGAGGCCACTAGTGTTTAAGAGTGGTACTGCATTTCAAGTTCAAAGTACTGTGTAGAATAGCTTTTCTTCTGTTGTTACATTTTTAATAATACATAATACATTTTTCTCCTCTTGCTGTATGACATTGTTCATTTTGGTGTCTCATGGTTGTTATGTAAAGAAATTGTGAAAAGTGCTGATCCAGCAGGTGACATGTTGTGGTTTGTCTGTCCTTGTCTCTCAGGGGTGGCAGCCAACTGTGCTTCAGCGTTAGCACAGATGGCTGCAGCTTCCTGTGTTCAGGAGGAGAAAGAGGAGAGAGAGACAGCAGAGAGTGGAGATGCCATCACACAAGGTGTGAGGTCACACACACACACACATTCAAAAATGTCTTCCTCTGCCTTTAAACATGTGTTTTTTTTTGTCCAGTGAAGCAGCGTCTGGAGCAGATGTCTCGTCCTTCTGGTGTCCGTCTTCACACAGCTCATGTCCTGTGTATGGACGCCATCCTAAATGTAGGACTGGAGATGGGCAGCCACAACCAGGACTGCTGGACTCATGTGTTCAGGTACATGAACACACTCACGCACACACTTGGTGTATGATGTGGTGCTCCATCTAGCTGTCAAATGTTATAATGATGCTAACCTGACGTCACCCCCCCCCCCAGGGTCAGCGAGTACATCAGTTCGTTAGAACACGCCCACTTCAGCGACGGCTCTTCTCTGCCGCCTCCGTCGTCACTCACCACCTTCTCACAGCAGAGCGTGGACGTGGCTCTGGACCTGAGCACCGGGGATGAGTCCAGCCCTGAGGTTCTAGACCTGAACTTGAGTCATCCTGTCCTTCAGCCTGTGTCTGTCCACCAGCTGCTGAGGGACAGCGCCACCTCAGGGCGCCACCTTGACCTCAGAGCAGGCAGTCTGATGAGTGGAAGTGCTGCCTCCAAGGCCGTGTGTACGCTGTCCACACAGGCTGACAGGTGAGAAGCTGAAGTGATGATACTGCCCCCACTGTTTGGTTTCTGTACTGCTGTGATGTCACTCCACTCCTGTGATGTCACCAGACAACAGTGGTGTTTCTGCACCTCTGTGTGGTCACTGTACTGTGGTGACTGCACCATAGGTATGTTAATGCAGAGCTGGAATGTAACTGCAATGAGGTGATGTCTGAACACAACCTGCAGGTGGCGGAAGCACAACAAAGTTACAAATGAAAGGTTTTGTATTTAGTACTGCATGTTTATGTGTGTGTGTCTGTGTGTGTGTGTGTGTGTGTGTGTGTTTACCGCAGGTTATTTGAAGACGCAGCCTCCAAACTGAACCTGGTCGGTTTGGTCTTTTTCCTGCAGCAGCTCAGGAAGGCATCTCAGTCTCAGCTCTTTGACTCGGTCACTGAGACTGGAGACTATTCACTAGCCATGCCAGGTAAATATACACGAAATATACTCCAGACATATACTACACAAACACACGGCACAAAAACACCTGGGATAATAATACCTAATACCATTCGTTGGTGAATGTATGTCAGTGACATTGAACCTCAGACTTGTGTTTTTTGCGGTCTGGTCAATAGGTGAAGCTAAGTCCACACTGGAGCACCGCAGCGCCCTCCATCTCTTCAGACTGGGTGAGGCTATGCTGCGGATTGTGAGGAACAGGAACCGCCCCCTGCTGCACAAGATGAGGGCCTGGAGTGTGGTGGCGCCACATCTAGTGGAGGTCTGGAACTGTCGGCAACTTCAGTGACAGCCGTCTTTTAGTTTCTACTTTCATGTCTTCATTAAACAGCTCCCTTCTCCTACAGACTATCAACTATATCACACAAACAGAAACCTCAACTTCTTCTCTTCCTACCTCTGCAGGCGGCATGTCATAAAGAACGCCACGTGTCCCAGAAGGCCGTGTCGTTCATCCATGACGTGTTGACAGAGGTGCTGTCCAGCTGGGCGGAGCTTCCGTACTACCACTTCAACGAGGCCCTCTTCAGGCCATTTGAGCACATCATGCAGCTCGAACTGTGCGACGAGGACGTTCAGGACCAGGTGAGGGCTTCTCACTGAGAGACCAGTGATGTTAGAGCTTGAGTCACATGACTGATGGTGTATTCCTGTCTGCAGGTGGTCACGTCCATTGGAGAGCTGGTGGAGATGTGTTCTCCTCAGATCCTGTCCGGATGGAGGCCGCTCTTCAGCGCTCTGAGAACTGTCCACGGGGGGAAAACTGACACCAAGGAGTATCTGCTTGGAGAGTACGCCATGGGTAGGAAGGAAATCCAAAACCACCACATGGACACAGAGAGAACACTGAGTTCTCTTCTGTTCCTGCTGGTCTTTATTCTCTCCTTTTTTAAATTTACTTTCCTCTTTCTTTAACTACCGTATTTTTTGACAATAAGTCACCCTTTTTTTCATCCTTTGGCTGGATTATTCTTAGGTGCAACTTATATTTTAAAAAATATAATATCACATGTCCGTTATTTTCGCACGGACGGCCGCTAGAGGGCACTGTTGTGACTTATACTCCAGAGCGACTTGTATATGTTTTTTTTGGCTGGTGCGACCTAAACTCTGGAGCCACTTATAGTTCGAAAAATACGGTGCTTATTTTCCTTCCCTTTTACTTTTCCTACTCTCATCGACTCTTCTTATATCTCTCTGTTTCCTTTTTTAAACCCTCGCCTCTTTATCTCTGCCACTTACTGTACCCCATGTCCCAGTCTTCTCTTCTTTTTGACTTGTATTGTATTTTACCGTTACCATCTCTGTCTTCTTTTCTTGTCTCCTATTGGGCAGGTAAATCCCAGGCTCCGGTCTTTGATGTTTTCGAGGCTTTCATAAACACAGACAACATCCAGGTTTTTGCCAACGCTGCCACTGACTACATCATGTGTCTGATGAAGTTTGTCAAGGGCTTAGGTTTGTCTCCTTGACACGCTGTTTCAACACTGATGACATCACAGGTGTGATGAATGTGTCATGATTTTTTTGCGCTGTGTGTTTAGGAGAAGTCGACTATAAGGAGATTGGAGACTGTATCCAGACGTCAGGTCACAGTTCCACTGACCTCTGTCTTCCAGCCTTAGATTATCTGCGCAGGTGTTCCCAGGTATAAAGTCTTTCCACTTCATAATTGTGGTGGTATTGTTTTTTTTTTTTAAAAATTCAGTTTCAATTTCAATTTTTATCAGGCGAGCAATTTGAAAAAGAGGATTTTCAATAACCTGAGGGATGTTTGATTTAATCACAGCTGCTTGCAAAGATATACAAGATGTCATCCAAACCGGTCTTCCTGGGGGCGCGGCTTGCCAGTTTGCCAATGAGATCACAGGAACGCTCAGTCAGCAGTGAGGATGGGATGGACTGTGTCCTGCAGGAGTTTGATGACGATACAGGTACAGACACGGTGTGTGTGTGTGTGTGTGTGTGTGTCCTGGCCTCTGCTTCCTGACCTTAATGTCTCTGTCTGTGACAGGTCTGATCCAGGTCTGGATTCTGTTGCTGGAGCAGCTGACAGCTGCAGTTTCCAACTGTCCTCGAACACATCAGCCTCCAACACTAGAGCTGCTGTTTGCACTGCTGAGAGAGGTCTCCTCTGTTCCAGGTAAAGCCTTGTTGCTGACGGGCGAATAATTATGTGATTTTCATTTAATTGAAATTAATAGGATTATACACTCAAACAAATACACGACTAAATAATAACAAAAAAAATATGGACACTGAAAAAGTGGAATATTTGCTGACCATCTCTGATGACTACTTTTTCATCCAGGTCCAGGCTTCGCCCTTTTTGCTGTCATCCAGCTTCTACTTCCTGTGATGTCACTCTGGCTGCAGCGTAGCCATGGCGACCACTCATACTGGGACATGGCAGCATCGAACTTCAAACACGCCATTGGTCTGACATGCGAGCTGGTGGTGGAGCACATCAACACCTTCATCCACTCAGGTTTAGGACAAACACTGACCAACTACACTGTAGTACTGTGATCTTTTTAATGTCATGTAAAGTTTTATGATCCATCAAAGTATCTGATAGTCACTTATATAAAGTCTGTTTGTGCCACATCATCATAAGTTTTTAAATTTCACTTCACAGTTGTTGATTATAAATGAGGAGTTAGAGAGCCCTCTGCTGGGTGATAGTTGTTGATTATAAATGATTGATTGTTAGCCAAAGGAGTTAGAGAGCCCTCTGCTGGGTGATATCGTAATTACTGTAGATCAGAAGTATTTTAAAAACAATTAAAGTCAGTTTGATGACTTTTTGGCTTGAACACTTCTACACACTCAAGGCCCTGAATTGGTGGAATTGACTTCATTGGTTCTTTAGTTGTTGATTTGTTGTTTTGTTCACACCTGGATTGTTATTCTGTGTCACAGACATGGGCTACGAGTCTCTGATAAACCTGATGTTGAAGGACCTGTTTAAGCTGCTGGTTTCCTGTGTGTCTGAACCTGCTGAGGTCATTTCAAGAGTGGGCTGTTCCTGCATCAGGTAACCACAGCCAACTTCACCAAGTCCTATTAAACAGAATATTTCAAAATTACTAATGCTGTACAAAAATGGAATACCCTGGTGTACCTGTTTTATTATCCATAACATGTTGGTACCAGATAATTTAATGTGTTTTATAAATTATTGATCTGTTTTAAAAGTGTTTCTTAAACACCGTTAGACATTTACTGTAAACCTTTATACTATTTGTTTTCACACCAAAAATGTAAATGTTCATTACACATGTATCGTCCATGAGACATGTCGACCCCATGTTTGATTGTGACTCCTCCTCTTCCTTCTTTGCAGATATGTGCTAGTCACAGTTGGTCCAGTCTTTACGGAGGAGATGTGGCGTTTGGCGTGCTGTGCCCTGCAGGACGCTTTCACTGCCACGTTAGAACCAGTCAAGGTCAATTCATGAACAATAATACAATTACAATTATGACCTTTTACCTTTATTTAAGAATGCACGTTTGAGCATGTTTTTACCAATACATTTATTTCCTTCCTGTATTTTTATTTTTTTTTAGATATTTACAATCATCAATCTGCAGTGCAGGTTATTGATAAGGTTTGTTTGATGAATGTGCTGTGAGAACATGGTGTCACTGTGGTAGATCACAGACCAACACACTGAGCTGCTGTTGCTCCACTTCAGCTCTGTGTGTGTGTGTGTGTGTGTCAGTTGCATGACTGACTTCTGTTTAAGCAGCTTTAGAGCTCAATGCAGGTTTTTTTCCTGCATGTCAGAGTCAGAGATGATAATGTTTTGTCCCCACTGACAAATTTTCTGAGCTTGTTGACGACTGTATTTGTTCACTGAGAGACTCCGTCAGTCAGTTGAAATGTTATTATATTGTCATTTTGCTGTTTTAAATCCTTGTTTTATATTTAGCAGCTCCTCTGAGCTAAAATCACCAATTGTCTCTATGGACCTCGATGGAGGAGGGAACGCGGTAGATTATGCTTTCACACATATTAACACCTGACCTCTCTGACTGAGTAAGTCAGGCCACCATCCCTGTGACAGGAATAATTCTGTTTTAAATCCTCACATTTCCACCATGAGGTCCATTTAGAAAATGGTGGATTTTATCTCACAGAGACACAGGGGCTGTTGGTGTTCTGCTGCCACAAAGGAGGTCAAATACTGAAGTCGGAGGCAGCAACAGTCAAAAACTTAGCTGTGATGTTAAATCACACAATTTCTCTTTGGGTTGTGGTGTGGGAGAGTTAGTGGTCAAGAAAGGCGGTCCGACACAGACATGGAGTAGTCCACAGACTCCATAGACTTACACAGTCGCTCTATAACAGTTTGTTATAAAGAAAGATGAATCTCCTCCTCCTTCCACAGAACCTCCTGGCCTGTTTCCATAGCGGCTCCGACAGTTTTTCAGGTGACGCCTGTGAGGTGAAGGTTGCGGCACCTTCTCCGTCTCCTTCAGCCGAGGCCGAGTACTGGAGGATCAGAGCCATGGCTCAGCAGGTGAGGAGCAGCAGCAGCAGCAGCAGCAGCAGCAGCGGCGGCAGTGGTGCTGAGTCATGATTGTTGATGTGGCAGAGTCTCAGTCAGATGAGTCTTCATTAACTGACGTGTTGTTTCTCTGTGTCAGGTGTTCATGTTGGATTCCCAGTGCTCCCCAAAGACGCCCAACAACAAGGACGGTTTTGAGCATGCCCAGTCCTGCGTCCTCATCATCGAACTCCCCGGTCAGCCGCAAAAAAGGTGACACCGCTCATGTTTTCCTGATAAAATGGAAAAAATAGGAATTGTGAATAACATTCCACAAACATTTCAGTGTCCGCTGTGGCATTAGATAAAAACACAATTTGTTTATCTTTCTATTCTTCTGTTCTTTCTGCTGCATTTCAGGAACTTTCTATTGTTCTGTTCTTTCTGCTGCATTTCAGGAAAATTGGGTGAGTTCTTTTGAAAAAAGACTATTCCTGAAATGTTTTTGAAGCGAGATTAAAACTAATGAAAGATCTTTGTTGAACGTTTGTCTCTTTAGCATCCCCTTCAGGACCATCGTGGTCAGCCTCCTGTCACACCAGGTCCTCCTGCAAAACCTATATGACCTCCTGCTGGAGGAGTTCATCAAACAGCCTGAAGGTCAGGACAGAGTCACACCTGTGACCTCTGACCCCGGCAGACCCTCTGCAGGCTTCCTACGCTATATCTCCATGACCAACCTGGCCATTATTCTGGACCTACTGCTGGACTCCTACAGGTCCATCCAGTGCCTTCCACTGAGGATAATCACTTCCATGGTCTGGTCTGTTTCAAGAATGTTCTGTTTTTGTTTTGTCCCAACAGGACAGCACGGGACTTTGACACCCGGCCAGGTTTGAAGTACCTGCTGATGAAGGTCTCAGGGGTTTGTGGCGCGGCTAACCTCTACCGGCAGTCTGCTATGAGTTTCAACCTTTACTTCCAGGCTCTGCTGAGCGCCACCCTTAGTCAGGCTGAGGGCATGACGCCGCAGCAGGTACAACCGACATACATTCGGCTTCGTGACTTTCATTTGTTATACAGCAGAGGGCGCCCACGGAACAGTTAGTTCTGTGGCAGCAGCTTCCACTCCAAATATACACCTCAGTGTCACTGCAAGGACATTGAACGAAGTTTTGCTGTTGTCATCAGGTTAAGAGGATTTTGCACGAAGAAGAGGAGGGGAGTTCTGACTCCTCCCTCCCTGGATCTGCGTCATCAGAGGACGAAGACATTTTTGAAGAGACTGCACAGGTAACATATATATACATATATATATACATATATATATATACATATATATATATATATATATATATGTATATATATATATGTATATTTATATGTATATATATATATATATATATATACATATAAATATACATATATATATACATATACACAGCAGTGTTTTTACTTCAGTCCCATTGTGATCTACATTTTCCTTCTCTACAGGTCAGTCCTCCTCGAGGTCGGAACCGACGGCGTCCGTGGCGAGTCCCTGTCCCGTCTCTCAGTGTGCCGCCCCTAGGTGGAGCTGACTGGGCTTGGCTTGTCAAACGTCTGTACAAACTTTGCATGGATTTGTGCAACAGCTACATCCAGATGCATCGGGATCTGGAGAGCACACTGGAGGAGACGGCCCCTCAGAGGGCCAGGGCTTCGGTTGGTGGAGGCGATCATGTGTTCTTCCTGCCTCTCTTCCAATCAGAGACCTCCACTCCAACATCTATAGGCGGGTTCTCAACCTGGGACACACCCTCTGAGGAAGGTGGATACAGGGCGCAGGTGGTGGAAGTCAGCGCAGCCTCACCTGGAGATGCGGCTACACCAAGTCCAGGGTTCAGGTCTGTGAGTCTGTCTCTGCTGTTGCTTCACTGCAGATTCTTTTAGTCTGACTATTTCCTGTCTCCACAACAGCACAGGAAGTCTACCTCACCACTTTCGCACTGCAGGAGAGCAGCGGGACCCCGGCATCACAGCAAGCTCTCTTGGAGGTGGTGGAGCATTAGGTGGTGTCAGCGGAACGGGGAGAAAAAAAGAATGGTGGGAAAACGCCAGTAACAAACTTTACACCATCGCGGCTGACAGGAGCATCAGTAAACTGATGATGGAGTACAAACGCAGGAAACAGTCACAGCCCCCGCCGCAGAGTCTGGTCAACATATTCATGAAGGAACAGGGGCGCACTGCCCCCAACACACCAGCAGGGGGAGTAGTCAGTGGTGAGAGGAGGGTCCCCACTGAGCCACAGCGACCATTGCAGAGACCACAGCAGCTTATTGACCAGCAGGGGCCTCCACTGAGACATTCTGTCAGCGCAGGACCAGAGGTTTTGCGGCAGGAGAGACCTCGGTCGGGATCCACCATCAGTTCCCACAACGTTTCCCTGAGGGACGCCGAGGCTCAGATACAGGTACGTTCATGTCTGTACTTTAACGAACTAACTTACAATTAGCTGTTACATGGACAGCCGTCAGTGACTGTCAATGTCAGGAATCATTAACACCCGTCTCATGTCATCAATGTCCAGTCAGATATATATTGATTGATCATGATGTCATCAGCTGCGTTAACTCTGTTCATCTCTGTTTTGAATCTGCAGGCATGGACTAACATGATGCTGACTTTTCTAAACCACACCCTCCTACTCTCAGACTCCGCCTTCATGGGTCTGCAACCTGTCCTCTTTCCTTGCCTCAGTCAGCTGACCTGTCACGTGACCGATGCCCGCGTTCGCCAGGCTCTGCGCGAATGGCTGGGCCGCGTTGGCCGGCTCTACGACATCACTTTGTGACGTCATAAGTTACACACCTGAATGTTTAAATGATGAATCACAACAGGGCAGTTTTGTTGACGTATGCGTTGACGCCCCCTGCTGTTAAGAGGTTGGGGGTGGCAGACAGTGACCTCACTAATAAGAGTGGAGGACCACCGTCATGTGATGGTGACTGACGGTAGAGAATGTCAGAGACAGCGATCCTGATCACACTTACTTATTCCTTTATTTATCATTTAAAATAATCCACAGCCACCTGACCAGTGTTCATCATTCAATCTGTTAGAGAGCATTATGGAGTAGAGCAGTGAATGATGGGTAACAGGACAAAGAGGAAAATCCACAAATCAAAATGTCAAGCATGTAACAGATACAAGAGAAAATTTGAATTTTTTTTTTTTTTTTTCAACAAATGAGGGTTTATCAGTCGCATCATTTGGGACATCATCAGCCGGAAACCAAAGATAAAGCCAAAGTGAAAAATCAGGAATAAAGAGACGGTTCAGATTGGTCATCTCATTACTTGGACAAGCTCGTGTTTTCAGACATTTCATTTGTCGTCATCTCCAATAAATATTCTGTTGTGACATTACGCTAACCTGTGTTAGCAAAACACTGCTGTGCCTGCTGTGTTTGTGAAATGTTAAAAAGCCAGCATTCTGTAAACTCTCCTTTGACTTGCTATCGCTACGGTGCTAACGCACAAAAACGTTGTTTTGCGGCAGTATTGCCTAATGAACCTTTAAATGAAAATCATTGGTCCAGTCTGTTGTTAATTTATTGCCGTTTCTTTGTTTGATGTGGTTAACAATGTCATTTAAATGTGTTTTTATTTCAACTATGTCACATCAATTATTAAATTATCATCTGATTTTCTTGTTGTTTCTTTATTAAGATCAATCCTGGAGAGTCCAGTTAAGATTGCTGTCTACAGCTGATGGTGGGAACTGCACCAGCTCATTAGGAGGAGGCCAGGTCTGCGGTAGAAGACGGTACATAACTCGTTTTTTTTTTTTTTTTTGTAAGTATAGACCGCTTAAACTAATTGGTCGGGTAGCTAAAGTTAAAGCGACCTAAACTTGTGCAGTTTTTAATCTTTGAATAATTAAGGGCTTTTAATGGTTTTCGCCTACGATACATGCTAATTAGCTATACCTCTTATACTTGACTGTGTGTCTAGGCAGAGCTGATAACATACTGTAACTACAAAGGATTACGGTTTGGCTAAATGTTAGCTTGAATTATAGCCAAAGTAGTTACAAAGAGGGCAACTGGACTGTCTTAGTTTCTTGAAGATGTTTCGCCTCTTCGTCCAACCGACTGCTGGAAGACGGAACGGTTGAATACCTGAAAGTGAGTCGTTGTAGTGATCACACCCAATAAAACAACACAGACCGACTCCCACCCAGTCAGGTGTGCCCCTCGGGTGACACTCGCCTCACAACACTTCAGTCCTGCCTGTGGTATTGGGTGTGGTCGCCTGCTTTGTTTTACTACAACAACCCCCATGCACTCCCTCCTCCTGCTGCTCAAGCCTTTGGCTCCTCCCACTGTGCTCCACCGTGCGTTTCTTTGTCTCCAGCCGTGCTGGATTGAGCCTGTGAACAGATGTTGTTCAGGATTAAATCAATGATGGACGAGTGATTTTAAACAAATCTGCGACTTTTTTTTCCTGCTTTTGAGTCGTCTGAACCTTCAGCTGCACTTTCATCTGCTTTGAGTTCCTGTGTGTCGGATTAAACCACCATCTACTGATTCAGTTCCATAATGTAGCTTAACATCGGTCAGCGCACCAATCCCCTGACACCATACACTGACTGAGTGTCTGTCAAAGCTATTTATATTTGTAACTGTACGTAATGTTGAAAGTCAGTCGACTGGTGTAGAATCAGAGCCAATCACAACACAAAGGAAGCACTGACATATATATTATATTATATTATATTCATGGTAACCTAAGAATAATACATATTTACATTTTCAATACACCACAGTGTACATGAACTATACCTTTGTTTTGTCTTGTTTCTGAAAACTGCCTGGAGGTTTTTATTTTTTTTTTGTTTTGTGTTTTTTGTGCAGGTGTGATTGTGTTGGTTTTGTTTGAAAGCAGTCTCAGCAAACTAAGGCCCACCAAACTTTTTCAAATTATATAATGTATTTATATTATCACAATACTTTTCCCTGCAATACCCATGTTTCCCCAATAGATGGTGTAGAAAATGATAAAAGCAATGTATCCTTTATGCATGACTGTTACATGTCATTTATCTTAGTTCACATGAATGCTCCATCAATCTGCTCCTGACGCCCCCTCCCCCGTTCAATTCTAGGACCAATTGTGGCCCGCGAGTCCAAGAGTTTGCCCACGCCTGTTCTAAAGCAGAGGTGAATCTGGAACTGTCCCTTTAAAGCTGTGCTGTATGGATTTGGACTCTGATCTTTCTCAGTCCTGCTCTGCTGCAAATCCACACAGATGTGTAAATCCTCTGTCCTCCTCTCTCTTCATCACTTTCTCATTCCACTCTGAGTGACTCTGCTGAGCTCTTCGTCATCCTCCTCTCACCCTTTTTTTTACAATAATTTTTTACTCAGTTTTTATGCCATTTTTGTTCTCTTTTTCTTGTTATTTTTTCCATCTGTGTTCTTTTCTGTTCTTTATTTTTTATTTTTCATTTTAATATTTTCTCAGTCTCTCCTTCCTCCTCCTTACTTTTGTTTAGTTTATTTTTAAATGCTTTTTTAATTTTTATCCTGTTCATCATTTTTATTTTGTGTTTGAATTCCTCCCTCTTCTTCATCACTATCCCGTCAGCTCATCATGCGTTTTTTGCTGGAGAGCAGCTGGACCAAGTTTGGACCAGCGGGTCGAGACTCTCTGGACTGGACTCCAGGCTCCTCAGTGCTGCCCTCCACTGACAGACAGGCTCCGGTGAGTTGGAACGACATCATTATTTAAATTCCAAAAGATTTGAAACTCTATTATGTAAAACATATTTATATTTATATCCTCATTAATTTAAAGTCTTTAAATATTAAAAAATGTTAATAAAATAAATTTATTTTTTAAAATAATTTTATTAGAACTGATCTGTTAATAAAATAAATTTAGTTATTTTTAAAATAATTTTATTAGAACTGATTTCACAAGACATTAGCATGTTTTAATATTAAAAATATTTTCAGTTACATTTTTCAATGATGGGTTGAATCAAAGCCTTTTTTATTATTATTATTTATTCTAAATTAAAGTAGCGCCTCTTTCCCAGTATAACTGGGATCACACATCAAAGCATCACATGTCCAGTGTTTATTTTTAAATCCAGAAGCTTCCTCTCTGACCTCCAGCTGTTTCTGTAGAGTAGGATTAAGTCCCCAGGGAAACGAGGCCAAACAGATGTTTGTGTTCGACGTCGTCCACACTGGTATCACTGTTATTTATTTTTAGTTGTTTAATAAATCAATAGTAGAGCCAGACATTTGGAGAGTAGTTACAATACTGCTCTTACCTTACACCATGAAGATCCCCGGGTCAAGTTGGCATTTTCTGTGTGGGTGGGTTCCCCCTCATCTGCTGCGATCTGCAACCCTGGAAAGATAAAGGGGTAAAAAAAATATTACTTTTAATCCAGCAGGGGGAGCTTTATGATGATCTGAAAGTAGAGACCTATTAGTATGTGTGTTGGTTGACATTTCAACATTGACATGTTTCATGTCTGATCTGTGTGACTTGCAGGGTCAAAGTTCAAGTGGGGCCTTCGCCACTACGTCCTCCATCACCTACATCGTTGTAGCAGCCGTTTCCTTCCTCCTCCTCGCTGCTGTCATCTTCCTGCTTCTGCGTCGTAAGCAGGGTTTCAGTCTGGACGGTAAAGTGGGCCTGACGGAGGTGATAGCTCTGGAGGACTTGAAGGACCCCAAGAGAAACAGCGAGCTGCTGTCCTCGATACGTCGCAGCAGGAGACAGCACCGAGCCCCCAGCTGCAGCTCTGAGCAGGAAGACGATGCTGGGGACGGCGTCTTCCTCATGGTCTATCTGCCCTCCCCGTATGAGCAGACACTCACCAGGATCGCCAGAGCCGCCAGCACCAGCAGCTCCAAGGACGCCGAGTCGCTGACTCTGAGCTCAGGACCAGAAACGGAAGACAGCGACCAGCTGAGGTCGGTGGAGGCTGTGACCTGGAGCGAGGCGGAAACCAAGGAGTGACCCAGAATCGAAGTGACAAGAACAAGAAAAACAAACCACACAGAAAAGTGAAGATAAGTGAGATCTGGAACAGTGGTGGTTATGAATGGTTAACAGGAGTCACATGACTATCAACAGCTTTTCAGAACATTTTCACATGGTGGCCACGTGTGTGCACTTCAAAACCTGTCCTTCTTGTGGCGACTCTCGTCTCAGTTCTATCCTGTAATCCTGTCCTTTGTTAGCTCCTGCTCTGTCTCCTTCAACCTTTAGCTCTTCCTCAGGTTTTATCCTACAGATGCAAAAAAATACAAATGGTATTTTTAAGCATCCGTCCTTTTGCTACTACAGATGTGTGAGAAAAAAAGCAACATCCGGTGTTCTGTGGTGGATAATGAGGTAGTCAGCGAATCTGTGATGTTCACGACCCCACTGAGAAAGCAGAACACTTTTTTTTTTTTACATATGTACAATATGTTTTATTTTGTGTTTTTAATTTTATTTGAAAATAAAAAAGTGATCGGTTGGGGTTTTTTTTTCACTTCAACATCCTGGAAACATTGGGCCACAAAAACAAACTGATTTATTTAAAAATCTATTTCTTTAGCTCATCTATGTTGAAAAGCATTTTTTTTTAATATAAATTTCTCTTTGAATTGACCTCAGCCAAGACTAAATCGTCTACTCACTTCACCAAAGTCCATTAATTTTATCTTGCATAAACACAGGAGCTTAGGGTCAGCTGCTGCCCCGTGTGGCCAGTAAAGAAACACAACAAAACAACACCGTGTGTCTCAGCCTGTGTATGTGAACTCACAGTTCCTGTGGGCGGAGCTTGAACAGCAAACATATGTTGCTGAAGGAAAACTATTTTTTGCTGTAGCTTATAAATTCCCCATATGGTTGTAATCGTTTTTGTTTTACAGCAGCGTTGCCTGAAGTGTCCACCATCTCTCTGCCCCACTTTTATATTCCTTTTCTCTCTCCTGTTTCTCTCTTCCTCCCTTTCATCCTAACTCTCTTCTTTCTCTCACCCTCTTTTCTTCTCTTCATCTTTGTCTCCAACTCTTTTTTTTTTAAATATTTTTTTATTATTTACCATTTACGTCGTTCTCACTCTCTTTCCTTTCTCCCCACTTAAACCCCATCTCCTCTTTTCCATGTTTTTTGATAATAGTAGTAAAAGCCTTCTGGCCTTTTTCCGCTGCGTCCTCAAATGGGCGTGGCCAATAGACGTACAACCGCAGAGTCTGAAATGAAATAAGAATTCAGGGAACCACAGAGGAACCACCGACGAGAAGGAGCACATAAATAAAGGACTGACGAAAGGTAAGAGTGTGTGTGGTGTGTGTGTGTGTTTGTGAACACATCTAAGTTTTGTTTTTCTTTGTCATGATCCTGTTGGATGCACCACAGCAGCAGGTCTACTCAACATCCCCCGGGGGAAGCTCTGGATTGATAGTACAGTAACTATATCAGCAGCAGCAGGACACTGTCAACTTTTTCTCTTTTTCCAGCCTCGTCTATCAAAGGTGTTGAATTTGAGCACAGCTGTTAGCTTAGCTGAACCCTTCAGCAATAAATAGAAATATCCAAAAGAAACCTTAATTGTGAGATAAAAGCCAAACTGCAGCTCAGGAAAAGTAAAGATGTTAAAAAATGCTCAGTAAACTGCTGCCAACATGA